TAATTTTAATTATTTCTCTTCTAATGCGTGGCTTAGGCATCGTTTGTTGCTTTTTCTCTAGTTCTTTAAGGTGTAGAGTTAGTTGATGAATTTGGGATTTTTCCATTTTTTTGAGTGAGGCTTGGATGACTATGTATTTCCCCCTTAGGACCGTCTTTGCAGTATCCCATAGGTTTTGGACTGATGTGTTTTTGTTCTCATTGATTTCCATGAATTGTTTAAGTTCTTCTTTGATTTCCTGGTTGACGCAAACATTCTTGAGCAGAGTGGTCTTTAGCTTCCAAGTGTTTGAATTTCTGCCAAATTTTTTCTTGTGATTGAGTTCCAGTTTTAAAGCATTGTGGTCTGAGAATATGCAGGGAATAATCTCAATCTTTTGGTATCGGTTGAGACCTGATTTGTGACCCAGTATGTGGTCTATTCTGGAGAAAGTTCCATGTGCGCTCGAGAAGAATGAGTATTCTGTTGTTTTAGGGTGGAATGTTCTGTAAATATCTATGAGGTCCATCTGGTCCAATGTATCATTCAAAGCTCTTGTTTCCTTGTTGATTTTCTGCTTAGATGATCTGTCCATTGCTGAGAGTGGAGTATTGAGGTCTCTTACAATTAACGTATTGTTATCAATATGACTCTTTATTTTGGTTAACAGTTGGCTTATGTAGATGGCTGCTCCCATGTTGGGGGCATAGATATTTACAATTGTTAGATCTTCTTGTTGGATAGACCCTTTGAGAATGATATAGTGTCCTTCTGTGTCTCTAATTACAGACTTTAGTTTAAAATCTAATTTGTCTGATATAAGAATTGCTACCCCAGCTTTCTTTTGAGGTTCGCTGGCATGGAAGATGGATCTCCATCTCTTCACTTTCAGTCTGGATGTATCTTTAGGTTCGAAATGAGTCTCTTGTAGGCAGCATATGGATGGGTCCTGTCTTTTTATCCAGTTTGCAACCCTGTGCCGTTTTATGGGAGCATTTAGGCCATTCACTCTCAATAGAGTGATTTAGGCCATTTAGGCATTTAGGCCATTCACACTCTCTAGGCCATTCACTTTCAATAATCACTCTGATTATTGAAAGTGATTATTGAAAGATATGAATTAATTGTCATCATGTTGCCTGTGAAGACGTTATTTTTATAGATTGTCCCTGTAAATTTCTGTTGTGTATCACTCTTGGGGTCTTTGTCCTTTTATAGAACCCCCCCCTTAATATTTCTTGCAGGGCTGGCTTTGTGGTCCCATATTCTTTAAGTTTCTGCCGGTCATGGAAGCTCTGCATCTCTCCATCCATTCTAAATGAAAGCTTTGCCAGATAAAGTATTCTTGGCTGCACGTTCTTCTCATTTAGTACCCTGAATATGTCTTGCCAGGCCTTTCTGGCTTGCCAGGTCTCTGTGGATAGGTCTGATGTTATTCTGATGTTCCTCCCTCTGTACGTAAGGAATCTCTTCCCCCTAACTGCCCTTAAGATGGTTTCCTTGGTTCTAAGATTTGCAAGTTTTACTATTACATGCCGGGGCGTTGGCCTGTTTTCCTTGATCTTGGGAGGGGTCCTCCCTGCCTCTAGGACGTGAGTGTTTGTTTCATTCCCCAGATTAGGGAAGTTCTCAGCAACGATTTGCTCAAATACATCTTCTAGTCCTCTCTCTCTCTCCACTCCCTCTGGGATTCCAATTATTCTGACATTGGAATGCTTCATGGTGTCACTTATTTCTCTGATTCTATTTTCATGGATTCTGAGTTGTTTTTCCCTGGCCTCCTCTTTTCCGTTTTTATCTATTATATTGTCTTCCAGGTCACTTATTCGCTCTTCTGCCTCAGTTACCCTAGCTGTTAGATTATCTAGATTGGATTGGATCTCATTGAAAGCATTTTTAAGTTCTGCCAATTCACCTTTTATTTCTGCCCTTAGAGACTCTATGTTGCCATTAATTGATTTCTCCATTCTAACCATTGTCTTCACAATTGTTAGCCTGAATTCCATCTCTGACATCTTGGTTATATCTGCATCCATTTGTAAATCTGCAGCATAAGTCATAATCTCTGAGTCTTTTCTATTTTGGGGGCTCCTCCTCCTAGTCATTCTGTTGATGGATGTTTGAGGGAATGTATAGAGTCCAAATTATTGATCAGAACCCAAGCAAGATGCATCTGTTTTCTTGGGACCTTCGGGTTGCTGGCCTCTTGTTTTCCCAGCCTGTCTTCTGCGGGAGGGGCCTGCCGCGCTGTTACTCAGGCAACCCTGTTTGGGTGGAGTTGCCCTGCCCCCCTGTGGCGGGGGATGGGCTCAGTGGGGATCAGTCTTTGGGGCTTTTCTTCTCTGGCGGCTTTCCCTGGTGGCTTTCCGCGTCTCTTCCACGAGTCAGAGCAGAAGAGACTGTTTCCAACCCTCTGACTCAGAGCAGAGAGCCCGCAGTCTGTTCTTCAGTGAGCTCTCCAGGCCACACTGTCTCCGTTTCTGTCCATGCTGCTATAAACTGCAGCGTCCTGGGTCGTCTGCCCTTCTGCAGAGCTCCCAGTCTTGCCTCCAGGTCGGGGCACGTCTCTGCCCTTTGTGCTTCTAAAACCGCCAGCCGCTCGTGTGCGACCCAGCTGCTCCGGGTTTCTGTCCCAGGGGCTGCCCTAATGTCCTTTCCCTGCTGCTAGCGGTCTGCGAGTCTGTGCCCGTCCCCAGTGCGCGAGGGTGTCGCTCACTGGCGGTGTAGGATCCCCACAGCCAGGCACCCTCCCGCTGCCATTTATCCTCTGGTATCTGCCCACGGAATCACATCACGGCTCCCCTCTTCTACTTCAAAACCAACTGCCTGCAATATTCTGCTTGTAGAGATCCAGATCTTCTTACATCTCAGGCTGGTTTCGTGGGTGCTCAGAGTGGTCTGGTGGATATCCAGCTCAATTCTGGGGACCAGTTGAAATAGGGTCCCCTACTCCTCCGCCATCTTTTTTCCAAAACCCTAATTTTAAGATTTTTAAAAAAGATTTTATTTATTTTAGAGAGCGAGGGAGCGTGCTCGAGGTAGGGGGAGGGGTAGAGGGAGAGAATCTCAAGCAGACTGTGCTGAGCGCAGAGCCCTAGCTGGGGCTCAATCTCACGACTCCGAGATCATGACCTGAGCCAAAACCAAGAAAGAGTCTGATGCTTAACTGATTAAGCCACTCAGGCACTCCTAATTTTATGATTTTATGTACATGTATGACACTTGGAATATGGTAAACTGCCATTTGGGCAGATGTTGTGTCTTAATTTACATTTTTAGTTCTTAGTATAGTAAGCAGTACTGTTAGTTGATTATTTCTCTTCATTTGACTAACTCATGTCTATTGTAGCATTTGGACATTTGCTGCATGAAGCTGTATAGTCCTGACAGTTTCTAAAATGATATGAAATCTTCCTAATTTAGATTCAAAGCAAATATTTGAGTAATTTAGGTAAAGTTTAGTTATTGAATAGTTTATTCCTAAGTTTCTTATGTAAATACATTATGTTTATGTTGGTTCAATTGACTTCACTGTTAAATAATGTGGATGGTATTTCTTTCCTAACTTTAATGAAGGACTGTTATTTCAGGCCATTTGAATATCCTTTAGTACAAATCTGAGCAACCTTAGCCCTTGAGCCAAATCCAGCATGCTGCCTGTTTTTGTCAATAAAGTTTTACTGGAACGCAGCTATGCTCATCCCTGTATGTATTGTCTGTGGCTGCTTTTGCACCAGAAAGGCAGAGTTGGGTAGTTATGACAGAACACTATATGACCAACAGAACTTAAAATATTTACGCTCTGGCTTTTTGTAGAAAAATTTGCCAAACCTTGCTTTAGAACATTAGTGACTATGGATTGCCTTACATACCTATATTCAGGCTCTCAAGGGAATCTTTGGACCAATTCTGTTTATGTTCACAATTCATTTAGTCAAACATTTATTGAGCACCAGTTTTTTTTTTTTTTTAAAGATTTTATTTATTTATTTATTTGAGACAGAGAGAGAGACAGAGAGCATGAGAGGGAGGAGGGTCAGAGGGAGAAGCAGACTCCCTGCCGAGCAGGGAGCCCGATGCGGGACTCGATCCCGGGACTCCAGGATCATGACCTGAGCCGAAGGCAGTCGCCCAACCAACTGAGCCACCCAGGCGCCCTATTGAGCACCAGTTTTATGCTAGACACATTTCTAGGTGCTGGAGATACCAGGAGGGAACAGTGAACAAGACACATAAAGTTTCTGTCCTCGTGAAGTTGTTATTTGAATGTAGGGGAGACAGATAATTAAACATGAAGACTGTCCTCTTAAAAAGAGTAGATTTTTTTTCTGATTAGAGGGATCATGGATTTATTAACAAAATATGATACTGACTTAGGTTTGCCACATATATTGAACCTAGGGTAAATATTATATGGGGTACAGTGTCCATTGTTATTGAGACTTGTTTTCGAAATTGGTGAAGTTTGTGGAGGTCACTCTTGCTTTTGGGTTGTTTTGGGTTCTTAATCTGTTATTAAGTTGAATTCCTCACTGCAGATGTTAGGGGCTCAATAATTGTATGACATATAATTTTATGTCAAATTCATTGGATAGCTATATGTTAAATTTTCTGTTAGAGAAATTCAGTGCTAAAATAAAAGACATATATATTTAACACATATCACATACTCTGCTATATAGTTTATATATCACACCTCGTTTACTCCTAGTAACTCTATGAGTTATTATTATAATTCCTTTCTTTGGGATGATAAAACCAGAGTTCAGGGAGGCACGGTGAAGCAGTTCAAGGATGGCACCTGTTCATATTAGCATCTTGGCCTGGCTCTCTCCGGGGCTGGAGCTCCAGGCCAAAGTGCTGCTTAATACTTTCTGAGATTTGCAAATAAGTGTTTTCAAGTTGGCATTAATCTTAATGGAACTTTACTTTTAATTGCCCTTTTATCCTTTTTCTTCTTTCTTTTGACATTTGAAGATATAGGAGATAATTTTTTTCTTCTTTTTCATTGTGTGTTTAAGATAATAATATAATCCAGGAAAGTGGAAAAGAAGGAATCTGCAAAGATAAAACTCAAGTAAACGTAACACAGCAAGGAAGAAAGCGATTAATTTCATCAGGAAGTTCAGAAAGTACATCTGCAGAACAAGACACAGGGAAAAAGTGCAAAAATGCTCATCAGGAAGAGTCTGTCACTTCATACAAGGTGATTTTTTTTTTTTTTTAATTTGGGGGTGCCGGGCTGGCTCAGTTGGTAGAGTGTGTCTCTTGATCTGGGGGTTATAGGTTTGAGCCTCACATTGGGTGTAGAAATTACTTAAAAATAAAAATCTTTTTTTTTTTTAAGATTTTATTTATTTATTTGACAGAGAGAGACACAGCGAGAGAGGGAACACAAGCAAGGGGAGTGGGAGAGGGAGAAGCAGGCTTCCCGCTGAGCAGGGAGCCCGATGCAGGGCTCGATCCCAGCACCCTGGGATCATGACCTGAGCTGAAGGCAGACGCTTAAAGACTGAGCCGCCCAGGTGCCCCTTAAAAATAAAATCTTAAAAAAATTTATTATTTGATCATTCGTTTTCTTCATCAAGTGTTTTAGATAAGAATTGATTATATGTTGTATACAGCAAGAAAAAAACAGAGCTGTTCTTTATTACTCAGTTTATGAAGATAAAAAGTAGCCCAGATTTTTTTGGCTTACTAAAATTAATATAGTACTTGCTCTGTAGAAAACAAATCTATTTAATTTATAAGTTTTCAGGCTGGAAAAAAAGTGGAGACCACTTGACTGGTTGTAATTGGTACCTTCATTCTGAAAACCTGGTTTCTTTTATTTTATTGGTCATTCTCAGACTACACGTAACCACCTTTTTCTTGATACCTATGAAGAACAACTGATAGGCTAGTTCTTAATAGCCTGTTGCAGGATTACTTCTGGGCTAATTTACAGTATTTGGAAAAATTCTCTTTCCTCTTTCAGTTTTTGCTAACTCACTAGAATGGTTTGACTGACTTAAGCATTCTTTGACACTGGGTACTTAATGAAAATGGGGCCTATTATTGGATGCCTTTAAAAAAAGAGAGAATAGGAGAGAGAGCTTGCAAATGAGTGAGCAAGCCCAGGGCAGGTCAGGTATTTTTCCTCTTAAGAGAGCGGTGGCTTTAGGTAATAGTTTTCGTGATCGTTACAAGCTCCATGGGTCTTCATCTTTTTAGTGTCAGTGGGAGCCAAAGGAGTAGGACTGGTTTTAGAATAGTGTACACTGGGATGATTGAAATGCTGTCAGCTTTTCCGGAGGGTTGGGCCTTTTATAGTACTCGCTTTGCTCTGCCTCCTCTCCCTTTAGAAAAGATCTAGCTTCTCACTGGATCCTTTCTTCTAGGTAGGGAAATGGGGTCTAATCCCTATTGGGTCAACTCCTTGGCTTACTTATGGAGTCAGGTTTAATAAATGAAAACATTTTCTGACTCACTTGTATTGACCATAACAAGTTATTAAGATAAAACCTGTTTAACTTTGAGCCCTAATATGCTCTATTCTCTGAACATATTAATATGACTGCCTGTTTTTTTCAAAAAAGAAGTTTTTTTTTTTTTTTTTCCAGAAGAAAATCTGTAGTATACGTATTTTGCTGTTTATCCCAACCCATTACCCAAGTTTGGCAATGACAAGTGAAACTTAAGAAACACTTTTCTTAATCGATAGATTGCAGAGAGGAGCAGTAAACAGATCCAAGATATTCGAGGTATTTGTGAGATTTTGATGACACATACATTGGACTGCCTACAATTTTGTGACTCTACTAATGTCTGGTCATGAAGATAATTGCTCTGAAATTGTCCATATTTTTCATTAATTCTCTTGCATCTTTCTGCAGCTCCTTATGGGTTATGTAATTGTCCAGTTTGGGAGTGAACATGAGGGGCTTGAATCTACTAACTTTAAAGAAATAATCTACATAATTTACATAATCTAATTAGGTCTCTGTTATAAATGACAGAAGGAAGCCTAACTGAAACAACTGAAGCAAATAGTGTTATAAAGTGTATTAACTGTTGCTGGGAAGCCAGCTACCCTAACATTTAGTGACTTAACAATGTTTTATTCTTATAATTCTGTGAGTTGGCTGGGCTCAGTTGGGCATTTCTTTTGTGACGTCTTTTTGGTGTTGAGCTGGGCTACATTCAACTGGGAACTCAGCCAAGGGTGGAGCATCTGAAATGGCTTCACTTGCATGAATAGTGCCTCCATGAGGGTTGACTGAATGGCTGGTGGCTGGCTGGGCCTCCCTTTCTCCACTTAACCAGTAAGTAGTCTAGGCCAAACATCTTCACCTGACAGCTGGATTCCAAGGGCATCAAAGTAGAAGCAACTATTCTCTTAAGGCCTAGGATTGGAACTGGTACAGTGTCATTTCGGCTGCATTCTTTTGGTCAGAGCAAATTACCAGGCCAGCCTGGATTCAAGGGGAGGGGATAAGAACTCCACTGCTTGATGGCAGGAGTAATTTGTGTATAAAGGGATGGGAGGAATTGCTGGCAGTCATCTTTGATAACTATCACATAGAGGAATAATTCAGTTTCCAGAATGGAAAGGAAAACAGCAGGAAATATAGATCATAAAGACCAGCTGGGACAAGGGACTTGATCAAAATCATGTTGGTCTGTGGTTTTCCCATTTTCATCTCTCAAATCATCCTTCACTGCTGATGACAGGCTTGCTTCACATGGTGTACAACACGGGCACTGGTAGCTCCAGGCTCATGTCATCTCATTTTTCAACTTAAGAGGAAAAATGAGAGTTTCTCTGTGGTTGCTTCTGTGGTAAGTTCTAGGGACTTGGATCATGAAATCTCCACTTAGACCATTCACAGTGCTCAGAGAGATGAAGTAGTATCATTATCCCTTTTTGGGTCATGTGTACACCCATTATCAGACAGATGGAGGAAAAGGGGTCTAGAAAGAAAGAAATAGTAGGTATTGTATTTTGGGGGCAGGGGGATACTATAGTTAGATCTGGATAAATTCAGAGAGGGGGAGAAACTGGTAGTTTTTAAGTTGGTCGGGATTAACCTAACAAATGAGGTTTGGAATGGTTGGAAACCCTTGGGATATACCATAAGGTGAAAGAGCAGATGTGAGGAAGAAGGGACTTTTAAAATTTCATGCATCTAGAGGGGATTCTCTTGTTTTGACTTGGCCTCTGGTGAGCAGTCAGGTGTCAACGTGGTCAGTTAAGACAGAGAACCAAATTGAAAAGAACTCAAGCCTTTCTTCACTTAGTGCAACAGGCAAGCAAAAGGGGAAATGACTTGTCAGCTCCCCAGTGTTCCGTTTTGTCCCATGGAACAGCACTCAGCAAGAGTCAGCAGCATAGGTGTGGAGAATCCTCTAACTGCTGAGGAGCCCTGGACCAAATGCTTCTGCCTCTTTCTAGACAAGGATGAAGGAGAAGAGGAAGAGCTAGGAGTGAAAAGATACGAATCAAAGTACAGAAAAATGCCTCATCCAAAGCTCCCCATAGGGAGGATCCTTGGGAAGGGCCTAAGCCAATCACACACCCCTCCCCCACACCTACCAAAGAGACCTCTGGATGGAGGCATCTGGGCTAGGAATGCACAATAAGCATGGCTAACCCACTGAGGCTTGAGTTCTTGATTGCAACTCTCTCCAGAAAACTGTAACACACTGGCTTTGCACCATGTCTGTTGTGGGGAGGGCAGCTTCCCCCTTGAGGCCTGCCAGCCAAAGCCTTGAAATTGTCTAAGCTTGGGCCTGAAGGATCATAATAGGACTTTGGCCTAGAGCCAGACTCCTCAGTCTGCACCATGCTCTGTTGACTACTGTTCCACATAAGTTCCAGACGGAGAGGCCTGAGTATCCTCCAGCCAGCTGCTGTCTATTCCTTTTAATCTGAGTTAGAGTCCCTACCTTGAATCCCATCTGCTTTTCTGTTTTTTTTTTTTTTTTGACTGTATAGCATTGTATTTTGTTTTCCTTTTTTAAAATTTAAATTCAATTAATTAACATATAGTGTATTATTAGCTTCAGAGATAGAGTTCAGTGATTCATCAGTCTTATATAATACCCAGTGCTCGTTACATCATGTGCCCTCCTTAATGTCCATCACCCAGCTACTCCAACCCCCATCCCCCCACCTCGCCTCCAGCAACTCTAAGTTTGTTTCCTATGATTAGGAGTCTTTTGGGGCACCTGGGTGGCTCAGTCAGTTAAGCGTCTGCCTTCAGCTCAGGTCATGATCTCAGGGTCCTGGATTGAGCCCTGCATCGGGCTGTCTGCTCAGTGGGGAGTCTGCTTCTCCCTCTCGCTCTCCCTCTGTGTTCTCTCTCTCTCAAATAAGTAAAATCTTAAAAAAAAAAAAAGTTTCTTATGGTTTGTTTCCCTTTCTGATCTCATCTTGTTTTGTTTTTCCCTCCCTTACCCTATGATCCTCTATTTTGTTTCTTAAATTCCACATATGAGTGAGATCATATAATTGTCTTTCTCTGATCGACTTACTTCGCTTAACATAATACCCTCTAGTTCCATCCACATTGTTGGAAATGGCAAGATTTCATTTTTTTTTAAATGGCTGAGTAGTATTACATTGTATATATATAACACATCTTCTTTATCCCTTCATCTGTTGATGGACATCTGGGCTCTTTCCATAGTTTGGCTATTGTGGACATTGCTGCTATAAACATTGGGGTGCAGGTGCCCCTTCGTTTCACTACATCTGTATCTTTGGGGTAAATACCCAGTAGTGTAAGTGCTGGGTGATAGGGTAGTTCTATATTTAACTTTTGAGGAACCTCCATACTCTTTTCCAGAGTGGCTGCACCAGCTTGTGTTCCCACCAACAGTATAGGATGGTTCTCCTTTCTCAGCATCCTCGCCAACATCTGTCATTTCCTGACTTGTTTATTTTAGCCATTCTGACCGGTGTGAGGTGGTATCTCATTGTAGTTTTTATTTATATTTCTCTGATGCCCAGTGATGTTGAGCATTTTTTCATGTGTCTGTTGGCCATTTCTGTGTCTTCTTTGGAGAAATGTCTTCTGCCCGTTTCTTGATTGGATTATTTGTTCTTTGGGTGTTGAGTTTGATAAGTTCTTTATAGATTTTGGATACTAGCCCTTTATCTGATAAGACATTTGCAAATATCTTTTCCCATTCTGTTGGTTGTCTTTTGGTTTTGTTGACTGT